CATTCTAAACACAAGCTGACAGCCCTCGCCACACACACACACACACACAAAGTTGATCATTCTAAACACAAGCTGACAGCCCTCGCCCATTCTAAACACAAGCTGACAGCCCTCGCCACACACACACACACACACAAAGTTGATCATTCTAAACACAAGCTGACAGCCCTCGCCCATTCTAAACACAAGCTGACAGCCCTCGCCACACACACACACACACAAAGTTGATAATTTTAAACACAAGCTGACAGCCCTCGCCACACACACATGTATATTCTTGGACATTTCTCCGTAAAGGTAAGAAACAAGATGGCTACGGTACCAGAGAGTCCTGTCCCTGTCCGGCACAGTCCCGCTCCGACAGCTCATCTCTCAGCGCCTTCAGCTCCGCGTCTTTTGCCTCCACGGCAGCCTGGCAGGGGGATAACAACAACGACAAGTTTTGTTTCAGTAAGATTTTAACCACAGCACTAGCAACACAATTACGTCAGTAGAGGTTTTACGGCGCTCGTAACTACATAAGGTCATATGAGCGCCAGAAGATTAGAGGTGTTACAAGAGAGTAACAAACACAAAATAGAAGGAGGGTAGATAAGGACGATAGATGTTTGATAGGAAAGAAGGAGAAAACCACAACAGAGCACCCGCCAACCATCCACACAATTAGGTCATATAAGTGCCAAAGATTAGAGGTGTCACAAGAGAGTAACAAACACAAGTGTATCTAGTGTTGTTGAAGCAACCTTTCACCAGCTCCGATTCGTCGAACCTCCGCGTGTTGTAATATGTGAGGCATTGCGGTGAAATCAGGCGCTCGTCAAAACAACAACATTGGAGAAACGGTCACTTTTCTGCCAGTGAGGACATTATTATTGACATTTCAGTTTTTCACTCAACTCCTTTACGTCCAAATACAAACATATTTCCACGGGAATTTTACTGAAAAACGATGAAAGGCACAAAATATGTCATTTTTCTGTTATCAAGGACTCTTTAGCTATTGGAGTTACCAAACTGTGGCGGGCACTTTCTCGCTAATTTCCCCACTGAAACTAGGCCACCTCTCCTCCTTCAAACAAAAAGATCTATCTCGACTTCCATCCAAGACAGATGGCTTTTCCCCATTGCAAGCGAGACAAATGAATGATCTCTCATATGACACAATAACTCCACACGCCCAAAAGTTGACCAGCGCGTCCTGACACATACTAGATCTATAGTGTGTAAAGCCCACAAATCTTGCTGTAGACCGGGGGTAGGATATCTATATTATTTTTATTAGTCAGACATCAAAGAATAAATTTAAGTAATCATTTATTATTACAAACACATGGTAACCATGGTAACCAAGCAAACGTCTGCCATATTGGAGAATTCTATAAAATTTCAAAAGCTATCTTCTCTCTTATTTTTCGTCCGTTGGTGTTCATTTTTAGTAAGTACAAACTACAACACCTGTGTAATGAACAAATAACGCCAGATTTGTCATATTACGATTATCATAATAATTATGGACTCTGGAAATATGTATTTTGGACAAACAGCACAAAAACCTCAAATTCCCAACAAAAACACTGATTGTAACTTTATTTTCTTATTATCTTAAAAAAAAGGCTGTATTTCCGTAAAAGTCACCTATGGACGCCCATTGTTTACAACAATGAAGCCATTTTGAGGAAAAATAACGGAGAAGACGTAATTTGAAGTCGCAAAAATAAATAATTTTTTTAAAATGAAGAAAATATTTTCAAACAAGACCCACTATTTTTTTACACGACTTGTAAACGGGCGCTTTACCTCGGGGGACATGGGCGGAGGTGTCAAAAAGGAAAAAAAATATGACATGGTCAAACTGGGCAAACCGCAGACGGCCTTATAATTATCATTATTAT